CCCCCCCCCCCCCCCAAAAACACAACATATTTTGATGTTAGAGATTTTGATCTGGAAATACCACTGTGAAGTTGTAGTTGGCTTGTCTCTCACCCCTATTTTCCTTGAAGGGCTAGATTTCCTATAAAGTCTCCATCTTCCATGATACACATCAAAGGGGCAATCATGATGCATCATGGGTAGGCTTGCCAACCCTCTAGGATTGCCCTGAAGTCTCCAGGAATTAGATATAAATCTCCAGGAGACTGCTGAAAGTCACCTGGGAGATAAATGATAGGGCATTCATTAAAATGAACATTAAATGTTGAATCCAATTTATACAGTAGTCCAGAGGGTTTTCAAAATGTAATAGTAATGTGCATTTGCCTTCCTGACGTAAAGTCATTAATGTCATTATGTCATGTAATGAAACCTTCTGGAATAGATTCAAACAGAGTTGGCAACCCTAATCATGGGAGACGGAGGCTCACTGAGAAGCATGGCTTAGAGAGGCCATGTTCTGCTCAACCCCAGACATATCACCAGTCTCATAGTTGATGAGTGTCATGCACAAGTCTTTGATCCCTTTATTTCCCTTATAGCCATCTTATATGGCTCATGCATCGCTGTAGAAAGGAGCAGGGCACAGACACACAAGAATGTTTTATTGAGGATTAAAAGTGGTTTATATTAGGAAGGGGAAAGAAGGAAATCCATGAACTTAGCCATTACCACCACCTTTTTAAAATTTATCTTAAAAGTAAAGACCATTTTTAATTACCTCTAATAACAGTACCAAGGACAGCCCACAGAAGAGGTGGAGGGTGGTTTTGTGGTTAAAGACCAGAGCTGAGATGCTGGGTTCTGATCCCAGCATTTTGACCATGTTGAGCTTGGACAAGTAATTTCTTTTCTCTGTGCCTCACTCCTTCCTTTTATACATATTTCATAGGGAGACTCCAGGGCATCCTGGTATTTTAAAATATTTGGAGAACCCTGGATGGGAGATGCTGCAGACATGTAAAGGATTGCTTTTGATAAAAGACTAAAGGGCTGTGCTATGCTAGCAGTTCAGACAGTTGTTAGGAACTTCCTTGTGTGCCTGCCTGGTCAGGTATTTTAAAGCTGAAAAGATGAAGTGATCTCATTTATCCACCAAGATGTTGGCCACAACTTAGAGCGACCCCTTTCCATTCAAAGATTGACAGAACAACCCAGTGGATGAGCTGTAACAAAGCTTATTAATGAAGGACACCACTGCCACAATGTTATAGTCACATTACATTTTTATCATGTCAGAGCCTTCATGTGAATACTGCTAAAAACAGACTTCTTACCTGATCTATTCTTAGTCGATACTGGATGTGTTTTGCTTTTGAGCAAAGTGATCTGGCTGTATAAGGGCATATTCTCAGTTATACCTAGTCAAGCCAGCTGCAATCAAGACTTTGGGCGGGTGTCACTGCTGAGACAGGACAGTTCGGCTTATAAGTTGGTGAGGGGTCCTCCTGAATGAAAGTATGTTATGGCGACAAAACATAAGTTGTTCTTCCCATTTGCTCTTGTTTTCTCTGACTTGTTCGCTCTTACTGAGCACAGGATGTGGCTGATTTTACTCGGAACATTACAAGCAGCCCTGTCTGAGTTAATTGACCAAGACAAATTTTGTTAAAAAAAACCTTGACATTAATAATGAGAAACAAGAGCTGGGAGGTAAAACACACTCGTTCAATACATGCATTACTGGGCACCCCCTCCCCTCTTTCCTGACTCCTCCTTAGGCAGCTTGGCAGAGAGTTAAGATCAATTAGTTTAAAATTAACTTGTGGTTCCCAGTCAGCCCCCCCAGCACTGGAGTTCTGTTTACCCCTTGTTTATTTAGTGTCTCTAAGTACTTGGAGCCAGGGATGGGCTGAATGGCTTAGCAATACCATAACAAATTAGTCAGTGTTGATGACAGACATTATTACTGTATAAATCACTTCTCCTGGGCAACTGGGCCTAGCAACCTGGTCCTTCATCTCAAAAACACAGGCTTCTGCAACTTGAGGTAGAGGACTCTTATCCTTCAGCCAGGTTCTTATCTTCTCTGAGAGCCAGTAACAATGCTGCATCTCCATGTTAAGCTGCTGATATTACAATACCTCAAAGGCAGCGGTTGGGCCAAATCTTTGTAGTGATAGTCTTGCTCCTTCCTCAGGCTGTTTGAGAAGCTTCCTGAATTCTGCAAGGGTCTTGAGTAGCTCACTTGGTTTCCATGATGGGATGGAAGCAGAGATCATGAATGTTCCTATCCCTTGTGCACTAGTAACTGACCTTTCCATGCTAAAGGCATGGGGCAACTAAACAATTTACAGCAAGTTAAACAGGGGTGGGGACGCCACACATCAGATGGATGATGAGGTATCATCACTACAGTAACTGCCCATGTGCATGCTGTTATCCCATGGTAAACCTCTTCCACAGAGGGGTGTAAGAGCATGCACACAAGCAGCCACTGTAAAGGAGCTCACATGTCCTATTGTCTTGATGTAACTTGTTCATTTGTGCACACCGTAAAACAGTGTATGTGTAGAGGAAATACCAGCAGTCTTTTTTCCGCAAGTCTGCCCCCAAGGTCAGGTCAGTGTAGGTTACCATACATTCGCAGGTTTTCTTGGGCACATCCTCTTTTTGGGTCTGGGATTTTGCTCTGCTTAGCTGGTGGGAGCAGGGGAGGATGATTGGAGGCAGGGTCACCACATGCATCTGTGGCCAGCATGCAGCCAGGCAGGGGGATGGGAGCAGCCTCGGCAGCTAGGTGCAGGTAAATCTGGGGAGCGTGGGTGGAGGGCCAGGGCTGGGGGACTGTGGGGATGGAGGGGATGGGTGTGTAAGCAGGGCAGGCGCCTGCTGGTGTTGGGGGGTGGTCTCTAGGTGCGAGGGCTGTGGCAGGGCACAGGGGCAGGGGGAAGTGCCTGCCCCTCCAGCAGGGGAAGGGGAGGCAGGGGCAGCG